TTTCCCCTTTAATAACATGTATGTATTCATTATATTTGATGGCCACAGAGCCATCGAACATGATGAATATGCAATCAATCAACTATCAATATTAATTTAAATTATAACCCTATCGACGTACTAAATTAAAATTCCTACATCAAATTGAGCGGAAAACTAGAACGTGCACAATTTATACTGTACATGTAGAATTGACTTGTACTTGGTAAATCATATTTACACATGTTTCAGTTTCTAGAATGTTCTTCCCATTATAATGCTAAAAGATAAAAATCAATGTCGTTGACAGTCACCTGGCGAATCTCTTTTAATAGCAGTGAATTTTTAAGGGATTTGTTGCACAAATGATGATGTGTGGATTTTTCATTGCAATTACAAAGCGGGAAAATGCAAATTATTCTATCGCAATCATAAATTTAAGTTAAAATTGAAAGTAATCAAAATTTATCATGTTACGAATTACAAAATATTTTATTCTGTTACAAATGTTGATTTCGTTTATTTTGATAATAATTCCGCAACTTAATGTAAATGTTGCCACATCGTTAGTAAATGCTATACATGTGTGTGTGATTGTTTAATGTCAAGGAGGTTCCGTGAGTTTTGCTCGCGTATGACCTGACTTCTAACACTATATCAAATAGATCTCAGATGCTCTTATCGTACAAAGATATTGCTATCCCTTTCAATCTCTTCGAACAAATAGAGAACAATACAAGGTTTTGACCGTAAAAACTAACGGTAACATTATTTGGAAATTTTATTGCTATGCTAACATTGATAGAAACGCAAGTGTAACTTGAATGGTCCTAATAAAGGTTTAAAAAGACGATACATCGTCAGTACGCTGTATTTTTACGCACAATTTAATTGCCCTCATTTTAGTATATCGTACTTTTATTACTTTCTATAATTTTAAAGGGAAGTAGTTATTCATATGATTTGTCTATCAAAATACACTCATTGGCTAAACAATGATTCATTAGGAAGACATATTTTATAATGGCTTTTGTATTGCCTCAAATATTATAATAATGAATTTATTAAAAAATGATTGACGAACACGCTCGTTTTATGCACAAAAATGTGTCTAGTCGGTACTTTAAAGATTTTTATTTTGCATTAAAATTACGAAACTAACATAAAACGCATCTTACGAATAGAGATGCGAACATGTTTTGAATATTAATATTGTTGTTATATGGTTTACCTTGACAGCGGGTTTCCATGTCAGCGAAGAAGCCAGGGTAGGGCTGCTCGTCGCAGTAGAAATTTGTGTACGGCACTGCGCCTAGTATTGGATAATCCGTCCCTGGTTTTCCTGAAATGTACCAACAAAAAGAATCCCTCAATTAAAAGTGTTTTTGTCTTAGGTAAGATAATTTCTATTACATTTTACATTCTAAATTTTCTTATTCTTTATTTTATTGGTTGTTTTTGCATAGTCTCTACTAGAACTTAAAGTTCAACTGCTTCATGCAATAAAATATCATTATTTGAATATATCATAACTTGACTGCTTTGACAAAGATATGTATAATTTGTCAATTTTTCAAAAAATTCTGGTGAAACATACAATACTTAACCTCCGACACTTACGTTAGACCTTCATAGAAACATGTATTTATATTTTAGGTAATTGGCTAACATGCTTATTTGTAAGTGATTCTTAGCTTTAAATTGGCTTGTTTACAGTTATTCTATCGTAGATTGTGACTACCATATAGTGCTTTTAAATGTTCCGATACTATCGACTATTACGCTAAGTCAGAAACCTTAACATCGATTCAGGATTGTATTCGTATGAAAATTTCGCCATAAAAAGAACACAATTAAAACTTAAATAAAAGTATATTCTGCTTTGTATTTACATATGTATAAAATTGCAATTAACATTTAATAAAACCTGCTCTTTCACGATTTTGCAGTGAAATAAAACAAGGTTTAAGGTGTTAACCTTCAACGAAATAGATACTTCTGATTTATTTTATTTTCTTAACGATATCATCCTTACTTGTAAACAAATCATAGTCGCGTAGAACTGATTTAAAATGAATTTCATAACACAGTAGAATTATTACGTATTACGACATTCAATTCGTTGATGTCTTTTGTATGGAAAATTTGTTCAGGTAAGATCTAAATTATTTTCAGTGATATCTATATATGATAATAATCATATTTAACAAAAAATATTGCAAAATTATAAGTATAAACATAAAGACACTGTTTAAAGTCTTGCTAGGAAATTAAAGTTATAACGTAGTGACAGTATTTTCAAACGTCACGTAAACTTAGTTCAGTACACGCTAACAAACAGCCATTGACACGATAGCGTTAAATGCGACATAGAATGCTCATATTACTATTGGTGATAAATATTAAGGATGTAACATAGTATATATAAATGTAACTAAAACGGAAGTAATGTTGTATTTTAAAGGTAATGTAATGTTCCGGTTTGTTTATTCAATTAAAGCAATATTATTGATTTTTTAACCAAAAATGTCGGATGAAACGTTAATTATGACAGAGAGACGCAGTAAAAACATAGTTGGGGGGTTAAATTAAGAAAATACTTCTAAAAACTACACAAATACATATAAAAAGACAATTTCGTGTTTCTTCACAATTCCAATAACCTTTAAAGAATCGTAGGCGTTAATACAGCTTGTACTTTTAGCGTAACAGATTTCAATTTTCGACTTCTTGAAGCGACTACCTACATAGTAATCGATAACCTTTCAGTATCTTACAATAGCTAGTGTCGACGTAACAATAACTCGATTGTTATAAGGTTCTCAGTCAGCCTACTTGTAATACTGAGCATCTATTAATTTTCGTCACCCATTGTTTTATCTTATCGAACTTTTTATGTAACAGTTAAAAATCGTTAGCAATCAATCAGTTTAACATTTTAAAAGACGTTTTTGATTACATGTGTTCAAAAACAACTGTAATATGACATGCTTTATGTGATCAATACCATTCTAGAATTTTTTAAATTAAATTACCATGCATATCGTGACTTGCATAGTACATATATTCTGAATTAACTCTTCTGTCTCTCATCAAAACAACCTCAAATCAATGTATTCTAGTCTACTAAAGCTGCCAAATATCCACAACATACTGTCGTCTCTTTTATTCCCACTAAAAAAAGTGAAACAAGAGTATTTTTATATAATTCTTTCAACCGTGATATCAACCGTAATGCTCATTCGAAGTATGCGCTTTTAGCTCATCCCGGCAGTGGATCTATGATAACGAAAGTCCCCGCCGGCGACCACTTTCACTGGCACAAAGCAATTATTGGAACACGAATCGAGATAGCCAGCGCACGATCTCGATCTATGATCGTCTTAATGTATTACTTGTTTCTTGTGTCAAAAGTTACGATGTATGTAAGGATAATCAAAAATTTTATTTTGGCAAAAAAATTAAAAGTATACTTAAATGTTTTTGGTTAAACAACTTTTACTTAAACAAGCAAACAATTGTATGCTAGTAAAGCTTTAGTTTTTATGACTACGATAAAAGATGCCTTAATAAATACAAATATATGTACATATTTTATAGAACAAATAAAATATTTTGTATTTTGTAAACAAAAAATGTGATAAACTTGTTTTTTTTTTATTTAAGATTAAAATCTCTATCATCGCATCGCTATTAAAAACCATCATCATAAATTAGTGAGTTACGTACTTAATAATCAGAATAATTATCAAGTAAATCTTTTAAAGCAATTAAGATAAATAATTGCTAAGATTGTAGATTACACTCATTACAATATTTATTTTTAAGTAAGATTAGGTAAAGGTCTCTACAATATGAATTAGACAAAAGGTTTTAGACTTAGTTTCTTTTAATAACAACTAGCTTTGGAACGCAACGCCGTCTGACTGGGATTATAAAAACAAAAACAAGAAGTCTAAGTGTTCTTCCGGACTATGTTCTACATCTATGTCAAATTTCACCCAAATTCGTTCAGCCATTTAGGCTGAAAACTCTAACAAACTTCCATTCATCTAAAGTTTCGTATTTCTAATATTAGTAAGATTACTAGAATAGAAATGTTCGGTCAGTTAGCCAGGTAACGGATCGCGTAACGATAATTGTAACGTTCCCTGAAGCGACTCTTGCAATACGGTAGTGCGGTCTTACATTTCAATGACCTACTGCTTGGAAATGTCAAATAGCATTCTCATTTAAATCGAAGAAAAGGGCACTAGCAACTTAGGAATTTTCACCAAAACAATTGTTGCGAAAATGTAACTTCGAAGTTACGGTGTTAAAAAATTAAAAGTATAGTGCATATAATTAACTAAGTGAAAAATAATAGACATAAGTAGCTTAGTACGAGTATATAAGATGTTAGGAACAAACTTGTTAACATTACAATAAATTTACATCTACAAATAAATCGTAAGTAGTTTAGAGAACAAACATAGAATTGCGTATATTCAAAATTAATTAAACGCCTCAAAGCGAAGGTTTCACAATAGTAATTGATTTGCGTTCTCTCATGTCATTTGAGTAATGAATGACTATGCACGTATTTGGCAATGAGAGAATCTGTATACTATCTACGAACGTACTGAGTTCAAAAATATTAAAACTCGAATTATAACAATTTGTGAAAATGTATTATACATATTTTATTGTTTTTACGCTTAATTTTTTTGTCTTTTCCTGCCTTTAAAGACTGTTACTTATTTTGCAGATTTTTTTAAAATATATCTGCACTTCAACAATAAATAAGCACTGTCCCCAAGTAATAAAAACACCTTTAAAAAATGGAATAATATTCTAGCTAACTACACCAAAAACATATCGATAACGAGCAGGTCATCACGATCTAATTAATATTAGCAACATAAGCCATGTTTAATTAAATGTAATATTTTGGACCTCATCATCGAAGTACGAAAGATAAAGTAATAAATTCGAGCCAACCATAAGGTCGTACGAGGACAGACACGAACAAGGTCAACATCGACACGTTTATGTAATAATTTGACTTTACTTGTGACTTTACCCCAATATTTGTCAACATTGGCAATGATAAAATATGAATTGGTACGATCAACATATTTCATTCACATAGAATACTTCAATGTAAAAAAAATATTGGAATTATCTAGAATATTCGTTTCACGAGATTTGAATATTTTTTATAGTTAAATGTTCTAGTAGCAGTTGATTCCAGTCCTTTAAAAATATTATAATAAGAATAAGCGGATCCCTAAAGCAGTCAAGGGCACTCACGATAAAATAAAAAGGATGGATCGAATAAAACCTGTGAACGCTCAAAGTATAACGAAGTGAACATCCTAATTATACGTAGTTTTATGTTACATCTTCGTTTTAAACTGGCCCGACTGGATCCGCAAAAGGCCATTCTGTTAATATCACGAATAGATTAATTATGATAATTGAATCTTGTTTTTGTATTTCGGAACATCTTTGTGGCCGCCGATGGCAAATAAAAATGTTTCTTTAAATTAATTGATAGTAATCGGATTACAATTCGAATAAAATGAATAAAAGACCTGTTAAAAATAGTAACATTCCCTTAATAACGATAAGTACATGCTAAGCATTAATTAATTTCAGACTTGTGTATTTTCAATATATACGAGTAACTAATACAAAATTTACGTAAATATTTTTTTAAAGGAAAGTAATGCGAATTAAAGCAAGTTGTTTAAAACAAAGTTGTTTAAATGTGTACTGTAATCACGAAATCGCTCTAATGCAATAGATTAAGACGTTTAAAACACGCAGTAAGTCAACCGCAAATGCATTAGCATGCGTTGCCGAAACCGCTTCATTAACTTTACATATCAACAGTGTTCGAATTGCTTATATGTATTACATGAAATTTGAATTTCCATACAAACATAATTACAAGTCGGCCCGCCTAGTCGATTGTCTTACGACCTCCCTGCCATTGTCAGTCGACTGACAAAATTACATTTATGCAGGAAACAATTATTATTGTCGTGCTAATTTCTTTGAACAAATTGTACGCGGTGTAACCTTATTCAAGAACATATGGAAATATTAAAAAATAAACTAGAACACGAATATCTGTATGAAAAAAGTACTGGCCACATAGCCCTTAGGACGATGATCCAGGCTTAATGTTAACAGGTTTATATTATTTGAGGAGTCAGGTTTTAGGATTTACTTTTATTTTATTTACTGCTTATTCTTTATTGTAAAGGGATGAAGAAACTGTGGAACCTGTTCATCAACCGGTTCCAATATTTTTATTCAATAAAATACGATAAAGCCAGTTTTCAATACTACCTGTTAAAATTATTCGTGTACAATAAAAACATTTTTTGTGTGATTTTTTCTTTTGTTTTTATTTAATTGTGGTAGATAATAGATATAATAGCTAACTATTTTTATGTGAAAAAGCGGTACGGTAGTCTAGATTTTTTTCTAACTCGTATGCCTTCACTATGACCTTTGTCTGTTAATAATGTCAAGCCATAAAAAAGTGTACACTAAGGTTATCAGACATCGAAGACACATTGCATATATTCAAATTACTGTAATAAACCACAAGAAAAAAGTAGGATAAATATGAAATAAGCATACAATTTGTAATTCATTTAAATATTGTCAAGAAAAATCAGACTATTTTAGATAGAAATCATACAAATATAATAGACAAAAAGTTGCATGCAAAATTCTAATCGTCCTTGAAACGTGAAATTTCTCTTACGAAAGATGAGTCTTGAAATTTAACGTATGCATCTGCGAATTGAAGACTCCAAAGTGTTTACACGTACATATGATTCGGCGGTAATATTTCGTTGCACACACGACCCACATAGCCGTGGCCAGTTGCAGGGACATTGTAAATATTACTAACAAACTTGCAAGTTTCAAACTGCTTTTTGCCGCATCAAAAGTGTCAATTTAATATTTCGTTAATAATTAATAATTACTATTACACTTGTGTTTTATTAAGACGTATCTACTTGTATATTATTAAGAAATATCTAAAGTTTCCATGCGTAGAAATAATTTACCTTAGAATATATGGACCATTATCGTAGTAAGAAGCAAGACGTTTATTTTTTTTATAAGATAGGCGTTTTTAATTTTTATACTCATAAGAGATCCACCGTTATTTAATAAATTTTGTGTTATAAATTAAAGCACACGATATATATAATAACACAAAAAGATACCGGTGCAATATTAATTCCGCCATATTTATTTCAGTGAGTTATTGCTCAAATGGCCGATCGGGTTTGACCGGGTTACACAAAGCGCAATGATTACCAACGAAGTAATAATGAGCGATTGTTAACAGAATTAAGAAGTCAAACAAAGCCCGATGGAGCGAGGTCGTTCAGAACACGACACCATAGATTCACCTTGAAGGTGTGGCCTGAAATATACCCACGTCCCATTCTGTATATAGTGTACTTCATTGATGCCTAATCTATGACGTAAGGGCCTTTTTGAATTATAATCTTTGTTAGATGAACTTGTATAAAGTACAATATGAATCATTGTAAGTGATACTCAAATAATACGATAAATCTCTTTTTTATTATAAATTTTTAGAACACGTTTAGTGATGACTGTGGCTTAATAATTTCCTACCCAAACACCAGTCTAAAATTCACTTTTATATTCAACATATTATTTTATCATAAATGTTACAAGTGTATAAAAATCACCGATACTTTTTATTAATTAATCATTCCACATTTGCTTGGTTCGTTCGAGTGTTAAAAAAAGTCTTCGCATGACTTCATTCTGGACTCTCATATCTCTGACGTGTTGCAAACTGTCGACAGAATGACTAATCATCTAAATTCTGAGTTCACGCACTGAATACGCTATTAAATACAATCATCAAGGTACACTTGTACCTATACTTAAATCGCTTAAAAGACGCTCCTCAGTCACGAATCATGGATATAAAAATACAATGACGATACCATGAGTCATTCTTATTTTAAGCTTGATTAATAAAAAACTCATCCAACAAATAGTTTTTAATTATCTTCTTTTTGTTTAAGGGCTATGTCCTTATCAGTGGTACTTGAGAGTACTTCTCCTCCACTACAAGTGTCTAGTCCTCCCTCTCTCAAGTACACCTTATTATAAAAGTCTGGGGTTATTAGGTCAACAAAGCAAGATTTCCTTAACATGTATTACGAATATTACCATTTTATAGTGATTCTCCTTATTAAATACCTTAGTTACAGACTGATTTTCAATTTAAAATATATGTAGCGTCTTACACAAGAAGTCATTGAAAGCGAGTGCATATTAAATAAAATATTGCACGTGAATCATGTGATTATCGTAAGTACTAACTATATTCACTGCATTAATATTGTTCTTTATAAACTTTGTTTATATTTTAATGAAAACGACCTTTGATTCTGCAGTCACGGACTAACGACATTTGGTTTAAAGTGTACCTTAGACGTTAGATCCAGAACCTAATACGGATGTATGTTTTCAAAAAGTTTAAAAGTTTCAGAAGACTACACTGTTTTTGAACTAAATTTCGCAAGGCATTTGTGGTAATTTATAGTTAAAATAATTATAATAGCAACAATTTTATAAACCACCTAACTACATTTATTACATCAGATTAAAGTCTACGTTTTTTTCTCACACATAAACAGCTAGATTATTTTCATTAACTTATGTTTACTTACCGGGTATAGCCATGCCAAGTTCCAAGTACTCCTTGACTGAGGGTATGAGGAAGGAAGGTGGCGCAGGGACAACTGTGTCGGGCTCGGGGGCGTCAAGCGCCTGCGCAGGGTCTCGCACACCAGAACTCTCAGCTCGCACCCGCTTCACCCGTGTACCTTCTTCTAAACCACCTAAAAATATGTAAATGTTCATTAACACTGAAGGTTGCTAACAAAAACATGATAGAAGAATGGATTCTTACTATAGTTCTCACTTCGTTTATGTCTATTTTTTAGTAAAATAAACATTGTTTATTTCTAAACTTGCGTTTATCGTTTTAAATCTAGATATCTTAAGATACGAAAATGACTAGAAACGATATATTCAATTTGTTTACAGGGTTACGAAGATCGGGTCGTATAGACGTAAAATAAATTTATTTTAATCTACAATATCATTTCCTATAATACTAGTGTCGTTGCTTAAATTACTAGTAAATATAATTTTTTGTAACACACCAGATGATTTGGTAACGAAAACTCAACCAATCAACTTTTGTGGGTAGCACAATTTTGCAACACATACAGACACCACAAGGTTAGACAATTCATCAATCATTTCTTCAAAAACATGATGCGGTATTACTTTAAATGCAATAAGTAAAAGATATCTCGTAATACGATGGTCACACCACTATTACAATGTATGGATTTTCTCATAGTTTCCCTGTGGTTATCTCGCCCTATTCGCCACAAAATCTTTCCCTCCAAATCGATATGTCAGTAGTAATTAAGTCAATTAGAATATAACTGCTTTGTTCCTGCTCACTAGATCTGACTTATAAATAAATTTTTCAATTGTTTGACAAGTCTTAAAAAGCGAATAAACTGTAATAGTGATGTAAGCTATACCTACCATTGGAATTCTAAGAGTTGCTATTGCTTGTTATATCTACTTAGGAGTGGTTTAAACACCATTACACAAGTGTAGCAAGAAAGATCAGTCAATTAAATACATGTATGTACATAAACCATGCATACAGTGACCGATGCGGGTTGCTACATCACGCAATCTACCGTCAACTACCCGCAAAAAATAACATTCTTAAAGTAATCACCACATTAAGATCATCTAAATTTTGCAACTTCTAAATAAATTTTTCAAATATATTTACTTATAAGGAACTGTACTTGGCTAATTTCTGCAAATAAAATCTTTAAGAGTTGCCTTCACTACTATTTATTAAAATTTAATATCTAGAACGGTTTTGATGAACCTTCATCTTAATTTATATGGAAATTGGGTTGTGATGATGAATGAACCGTACTCATTAGTATATTTTGACTAAAATGTCCAATGTCAACATGTAATTTGCTAAAAAACTAAATAGCAACATAAGGTAATGTACTAATTTATCAAATGGATACATATAATAAGAATTCTAAAAAAAACATTTCATTTTTATAGTAATATTAATAGCCTAGGTAAAAACAAAAGATCTGTAACAATAGGTGTTATCAGATCGGGCTTTATCAAATGGCCAATCATTTTTTGAACGTAGTTAATTATAACTTGTAAAACAATATAAATTATATTTTAAAGGCGGTGGAAATTAAGCAACACTGACGTCAGTAAAGTCCGCCTCGTAATAAAATCGAATATTGATCTATCCTCGTTAGCACTTTAAGTTAAAAAAGAAGCATAATTAAAGGAATAAAATCTTTTTTATTTAGTGTCCTAGCTATTAACATTATAATTAAAACATGAAGCAAAATATTTTAAAACAACTAAAAAACATGCAACCAGTCCTTTTTATGTCTATTGATAAACATTCTTTTTTTACGCGTACATCAGAAATATAATTTCTAATAATGCAATCCTTTTCCTTACATATGTATTTATAAATGATTTATGTATTACAAAGGTTAACACTATAATAACCTTAGTATGGGATACGGGATACCCAACTTAATCAACCGCAACTGCCTTCAACAGTCCTTACACGCATCATGCATTTATTTATGACCGAGTTTCCAATGAGAGATATTAATTTTAACAGATTAATTTAAATTTGTTGAGAACATTTTACCGAAATGATGAACAGATATTTATTACGTTGCGTTTACGTAATTTACGGCCTAATGCAGTATTTTGTGTAGGAAAATAAATGAATTACATAAATTAGGCAATATGTGCTATTATTATAAAATAGTAATAGATTGCCATTATATGTTACTACGTTTTGCCCGCGACTCCGTCCGCGTGAAATAAAAAAAATAAGATGCAAAAGTAAGTAGCCTTTGTGTTCTTCCAGATTATGATCTACGAGTACATCTATTCCAAATTTCATCAAAATCCGTTTAGACGTTTTGGTTACAAACTCTAACAAACATCCATCCATCCGTTTAAACTTTCGCATTTATAATATTAGTAAGAATTAGTAAGATAATATTAGTATGATAACGTTTACTTATTATGTCCGAATGAAATATGTTATAATTAAATTTTTAAAATTCCAGCTATCGTAATTAGAATATGTACTTGAGCCTGATTATAATCAAAGAGGATTTTAAAAATACAATTGTAAACAGTAGTTAAATAAATAATACTTAGACATTATGAAGCTACACCTTTAGCTGAAAACTTAATTTAACGTAAAAATTTAAGTAATTGTCTGAAAAACTATAGGTAACTACATCTTAGTTTTGGAAGAACTAAAAACATCCACCATAACTTTAAATTATAGAATATATAACTTAAGTATCCTCTATCCCATTAACTATGAGGTCATCTTTCGTAATATGTATTTACAAGAAACAAACCTAATACTTCGTAAGGTCAGCGTAAGCTTATTGAAATAATATCTTATTTCACCAATACATAACTTATTTGTAACTTTACATATCAGTATTTGATTTTAATATTTTTATAAATTTGTCTTACCGGTGAAGGTCAAACACGTTATGATGAGCACCAAAAATCTGAAAATCGCTTTTAATCCTTTCATCGTGATTTTAATATTATCTAATAAATGAATACACCAACATATCTTGATACACGATAGAACTACACGTTAGAATAAATTATAAAGAACATCGAATAAATCGCGGCTCAGCTAAAATGGTTTTAAAACTGTGACTTATGGAACCGCGACGTCTCACACTCGGCTCATAAATTGTGTAAGAGCGGTACTTGCGTGCGCTTTCGGGGACAGCCGACCGCGCAATGCTCACTCCACGTATAACTTAATACATCCAAATAAAAAAGCTATAGGAAACATTACTTCATTGACCTCTAAACGTTTTCAACTAATGGGAGGCCGCTTCATCTAAAGAAATAGTCAAAATAGGCAACGATGCGTATTAGATTTTCTTGTAGACTACAAAACAACATCAAAGCAAAATGAACATACTTAGATTGTTGCGTAATTATACACATTAAGTTAAAAAAGATTATAGCAACTGCACAGCAGGTGTACCATTACATAACTTTTGCTAGTTCCTTCATTTAGTTATATCACAACTTGGGTCAGTATTTAAGATTAATCATGTGGATTCTTAAGTCGTAAAATTTGCATCGTTGCTTGATGGTTACAGATTTTTTGTCATAATGGTTTAAATGATTCCCCATTCCTGATCGTCTACTAATAAACCTTAAATTTTGCGACCAGCATCCTTGATGTTAAGTGACCTACCAAAAGACATCTGCAACATCAAAATGCGTTAGCTTATTTTATTGGACATAGGAGAAGATAAAACAATAAAGCATTTTTCCCGTCCCTTTTCTCTTTTTTATCGAACTTATCCCGTCCCCTCCTTAGAAAAGCATAGAAATCCTTGTTTTTGGTCTTATGATGTCGAGGTTTTTCTTACTGTGGAGGTAAGAAATACCTCGACATCATACATATGCCTACTTTCAGTTCACGCTTGTTTTCCATGTGATCGTGGTTCATTTCAGCGGTCGAGCTAATCAGACGAGCAGCAGATAAAGCTAATGGAGATTCTACCACTGTAGTATAATTTTTATATTCTTATGACACGGCTTAATTCAAGTAATATTATTACAATGGTCGTTAGCAAAAGGTTTATGCGTGCGATAAGTGAGAACATAAATTATTAATACAAGTTTCTACAACTTAACTAAGTTTTTCTTAAATTCTCGCTTGATATTAGTTAAGTGATTTACAGTCGCACTTAGAGTCCTTAAGTGATTACTAAGGGGTCCCACAGTGCGAATTTAATTCCAAAAATTGAAGCGAAGCTACTGCTCAATAATTAATAATCCTGAAACGGAAATAACGTTTTTTCCGCTGACAGCCAAACCTAATAATGAATCCGAAGATTGTATTTTACAATTTCAAATTCAAATCCCACATAATTCTGCTTTCCCCCAGAGGCCAGGGTTTTTTTGGAAGATTTCCCCCAGACAACAATAGAAAAAGAAAAAAAGGCTACACCAGTGGCTATAGATAGGTACTCTTTGTAAACTTGCCTCTTAGCTTGTCTATTATCTATGACCCGGTGGGACCATCGCTCCGCCATTCGTTTGAAGTTTGATTTTGTTTTCAAGGCAAAAAAATAAGTCAAGTCCAATTTAAATTTTGTTAAAAATAAATGCTAAGCACTAAGTGTAGATATATTATTAAATGTAAAATAGTAATGCTATTTAAATGTTAATTTGTTTCTGATCGTAAATCAGCATCAGCAATGAATACAAAAATTAAAAAATGTTGTCCAAATTGCAGTCAGTTTTTCAGCTTGAAGTGTAAGATTATTATAATAATTCCATAGCTAGCAAATTAGTTAATCTCAATAATATTTTTGAGTTTGTCTTTGCAGTGATATCTTCAAAACAAAACCCCGAAAACATACCGCTTTTTTTAAAGTGCGGCCATTCTATGTGCGAAAATTGTATTACAAATTTGGTCAAGTTTGAAGAACCCATAGAATGCAAAATTTGTCATAAAGATATGGAAATAGAAACTAACGATGTTAAGTTATTGGTAACAAACAAATTAAAACTACGGCAATTGTTTCCAGTCAACATATATATGCTTGGAGAGTTATCACTAGAGCTTTTAGAGGTAGAATTTTAAAACTATTACTCAGTTTAAATAAGTCTTATTATATTATTATGAGTAAATATCAATACAAGTTTCATACTTTTTATACCATGCTTATCGAATCATTAAGCACATAAAAGTAATTAAACTTACAAGTTAAAACACACTTTAGTTAACTCTGAACATTTCTTTATCAAATAATGTGGACTAAAAGTTTAGTCTGATATATTTGGAATATTATCCTTAGGTTTTCATAACTAATTAGTTTATTGATGTATACTGTAATTCATGTATGAACATGTTTTGAATTTTAATAAATAGGTTTGTGTCTTTCAGGCAAAAAATGAAGTGAAGAATAGTGATGATGATTGTTTTCTTAATTTGAAAGCACTTCTTCAGACAACAGAAACATGTCTAAGTAAGTGTCTTTATCTATATTTAACTTAATTGTCACAAGAGTCATACTCATGGGTGAATGGGCATGTACAACAGCCTATTACTTATTTTTCAGGTCAATGCTTGGAATGTACGAATCCAACAACTAAAATGTGTAGACAATGTGCAACAGTACTGTGTGAGGTTTGTTTCAGCAAAAGTCATAAGAACTTTGTCATATTTAGAAATCATGTTCTCCAAAATATAGGTGCGTAATAAGTTTATTAAAAATGTTTCTTTATAATGTTGATGAAGTTATGAATGCTCTTATTTATTGTAGAACCAGAATTAGCAACAAATAATTGCAAAGTACATGCAGAAAAACCATTGGAGTACTATTGCAAGGACTGTTCTAAACCAATCTGTATGGATTGTTTGGTAATTGGAGGTGAAAAATCGTGCAAAAATCACAACTTGGTGTCCACACAAGAAGTTGTTAGTGAAATTTTTTTTATTTCAGTTGATTAACTTAATGATTAGATGTCAATAATGGATTGCTTTTTTTATTTTATGTGCAGAATGAACAGCTTTTGGAAGATTTAGCTGAAATCTGCCCTAAGGTAGATGAAACTTATAGACGGTTAACCAAAACTGCAGTTGTAAGTAAATTAATTTAACTGTTATTTTGTATGAAGGTATATTTAAATATACTTTATTTTACCAGTTGCTAAGTCTGCACCAGATATAAAAAAAACATAGCAACTAGCTTATGTGCTCTTCCAGCTTTTAATTTTTTTTTATTTTAAAGAAACCAGTACTCGACCCTAGACTGAGATTGGGTTCTACATTTGTACCAAATTTCATTAAGATCCATTTGAACTGTTCTATAGTTATCTTGTAAAAAAACATCCATCCATCTATACTTTCGCATTTAGTATGAATTAAGAAAGAAAAATTAAATATTAGTAAGATTGAAGCAAATTCATCGTCCATTTGTCCAAATCCCTTACAGAGGGTTGGCACATTATATTGAAGCAGATTTATTAACGCTTTTGATGTTATTGCAGGATATTGGCCATATTTTATATAATATTGAAAATGATAGTGGATCTTCAGAACTGTCACATATCGAAAAAGAGGTGGAACAAAGTTTCTCCAAGCTTTCATCTATTGTGCAAACTCTTAAAGATGAGACAGTCAGTAAAATTGTTAAACTAAGGACAGCAGAGAAAGAATCTCTAGAAAATGCTAAAAAATCACTTGCTGATTCAATCAAGAATGCAATATATGTGTCTAATTCTGTGAAAAAATCTTTAAGTGTGGAGAAAATTAAACAGGTAATACACATTTATACTAAATATTATAAAGAGGAAAAAGTTGTATCTTTGTATTAATTGAAGTAACTCGAAAACTACTGGGCCGATATCTGACACCGTTAAAAAGCTTTGTTATCACTGAGTACATAGGCTTTATTTTTTACTATTTATTAATTTCACGCGAACATTGTCGCGAGCAACAGCTGTAAAGTTACATCATGCTTTTTAATGAGTGTTTAAAAAACTCCTTTATTAATATTTCTTTAGTATATTATAAATTTTGTAAATATTTTTTAATTTCAGGCTAACATGTCTTTGCTACTAGAGGATGCTAAGAAAGTTGTTAATAGTCCTTGGTACTTAAGCCAGAATAAAGGTGATATTAAGTAAGTTAACAAAAATTCATTGATATTACTAACCTTTTTCCTAGTTTATTAATCAGTATTGTTTATTTTGTTGTCAATATTTCAGTGTTGTTGTCAATGAAGAGGCGTGCAACCTCCTTGGAGACTTTATCCGTTTGGAAGGTGAAATGGACAGTACATTTAAACTCCTTACTACTGATGAAATAGATTCAAATGTTGAAATACCTCCTCCTCCCGTAGCACCAGTATTTCCACCAGAGCTGCCCAAAGGTAACATTATAATATTTTCATATATTATTAAATTCACCCAACAAATTAACCATGTAACATATGATATATCTATATTCTTACTTCTTACTAATATTATAAATGTGAAAGTTTGGATGGATGGATATTTATTAGAGTTTAGAGCTTAAACTGCTGAGCAGATTCCAATGGAATTTGGAACAGATGTAGAACACAGTCTGGAAGAACACATATAATAAAGAGGAAAGATTTGTTTAAAACTACTGAACAAATTTTAATAATTATTTCCCTATTAAAAAGCTCCATTATCTTAGTTACATACAATGTATTTTATTAATTTAAGCGAAGCTGGGGTTTGATGACTAATATCTTGTGTTTCTTTTTGTGATTTTCTCTAACAATAATTTGGTTTTATTAATTTTTTGTTTATTCATACTTCATTTGCAGTCACTAAGTTAACTCCCCATGTTTTAGATGTAAGAGTGAAAAAGACTCAGAATAATCCTAATGTTCAAAAAGAGAATGTGAAATCTCAGTTGTTCTATACAAAGGCTCCGACATACCGCAGCAAGAGTGCTTCCGTCTCATCCTTGAATTCACTCAATAGTGATTCCTCTTACAAAAGTTCAAGCATCAGAGGTAATATTATTGTTCATTAAGCCTTTTTCATTTTTAATTAAAATTTTTATCGCAAAGTTTAAAAGTATTCAAATATCTTAACGGCTTGGACCATAGTAACGTAATGGGATTTGGGGAGAGAACAATGTTCGTAGATAAGACCTTGAGCAGACAACATATATGAAATGACATAACATTTTACAGATGATGGACTGTACAAGCCTGTACACCAAGTGTCACCATATCAAGAGATCCCACAACCTAAGCCATTGTGTGCAGGTATATACTTTTCTGAATACCATACTTAGTCATATAGTAATCCCTTAGTGTAGATTTAATGTAACTTTTTACACTAATGGCTCTTTTAAAATAACAATAAAATGACTTAATGTGCCTGTTAATGATCTGTTATTCAACTAACAGTGTAAAGTTTAAATTAGTTTTGTATAGCTCTCAGTTACAATGTAATAAGTTAAAGTTACAAATGTAATGTTCTGTATGTAAGAATAAAAATAATATATTTATTAAACACTAAGGATAACTACATCAATCAGTGTTGCTTTGGCATCTGAACTAGGATTCCTGTTTTTAAAAAGCCAGGGAATTCCCTTACAAAATCATTCATGTTTTGTGCGAAACATTGAATTTAATTGATACTCTATGTGATTCAATTCTTTATTTTTTATTGCAGTTATATTTCTAATTTTAAAATTACTCCTAGTATTTTATTTGTTTTTCTCATTCTTTATCTTTGTTTAGTCTACTTTTGCATTCCAACAATTTACAGACAGTACAGACATAACACAAGTCACACACCATAGATGATGTCATAGTTAGTTACTAGAAATTGACAGCTGACCGTTGCAATGCAATACAATACTTTAGATGTATAATAGAGTGATGATAGTTAGTTCTTAATTGACCTTAGAGGGTTATCGCATATCTAAAGTGTATTTCTGGTTATATTTTATTGTTTTTTTTACATAATTTTTTTTTTATATTTTAAGGTGGTCAAGAACTAGTGTATATATCACATATCGTGACGCCGCATAACTTTTACGTGCAACGAGTTATTCATATGCCGATGCTTGAAGAGTTAATAAAGGAGTTTCGAAACGCCGTCTCCCTGCCTAAACCGTCTGTTAACAGTATTGCAGAAGGTACGTATTTAATGGATAATTGACATTTAACTGTAAAAAAATAATTGAATAATTTACTTAATCATCTTCCTCCTTATCCTACTCTCGTAGGGTCGCCGAAACAGGTTTAAATTTATACTAATGTTATAAAGAGGAAAGATTTGTATTTTTGTATGTTTTGAAATAACTCAATGACTACTAGGCTAGTGTAAAAATTATGTCACCATTGAAAAGCTATGTTATTTTTTAATTCGACGCGGACGTTGTCGTGAGCAAGAGCTATTAATGCAAATTATTATAGTTGTTTATAGTATTGTTTTTTGTTATTTTTTTATAGTGTATTTTTTTTTCAGGCAAGTCATACTTAGTGTTCAATAAAACTGACAACCTGTGGCAGCGCTGCCGAGTCACCGGCATAGAGAAGAAGGACTCCAACAAAAACTTGTACCATGTCTTTTGTATGGACTTTGGAAGTACTGAAGTTGTTACTATAGATAAGTATGTGTTTCATGTATTTATAAATACTTATCCGAAAACTTGATAACTTATATAAGAAATTAGCTGTTCCTGTGAGGTTTCGTCCACATAAAATTATAAAAAAAATATTTTATTGTTTACATTTGTCAAATTATCAATAGCAAATGTCAAAATGATATGACATGACAATCTTGCTTTCTTGATGTTGGCAGCAACTTATGGTCTCTTTCCCACTTTAGGGTGTTTATCCAAAATATTTGGATAAAGACGTGAGTGTAGGGCTTTTTATTACAAAATGAATTATTCAAAAATATGCTATAATTGCTGACATCTTAGGCAACAAAGAAGTGTGTGTTTACGCTTTATTATAATAGTATAGATGAATGAACGGAGTCGCGAGCGAAAGCTAGTTTATAGTATTAGTAATATGATGGTTATATTGTCAGACTGCGGCTGCTGTCGCCCGCGCGTGCGCAGTCGCCGGCCCCCTTCGCGGTCAACTGCTCGCTGGCGAACTGCGAGCCGCGCGCCGGCGCCTGGACCAGCGACGACGCGCTCCTCATACAGAACATCACCGACAAGTAATCATTATATCTCACTACCTCACTAACTGACAATATTTATTTATACTTTAAATGTGGCGATACAAAAAAATATATTTTTTTAATATGGTAAATAGATATCGCCAATCTCGTTGGAATCTGGCATAGATATATGTTTTGTATAAATCATTGTTAACTAGTGACGGATATCAGTTAAATGGGTTGTGTAGATTTCGATAAAAATCACATCTATACTAAATGTAAAGAGGAAGGATTTATATTTGTGTATATATTGAAAAAAGTTAAAAACTATTCAACCGATTTAGAAGAGGAAGTAGAAGTAGAGAACAATTTTTTTGATACTTTATAACAAAAATATTTTTTTTCCTGAAGTTAATATCGATTATAGTTATCTATAAAGAAATAAAAAATACGGTAATAGTACTGGATGAAATATTGTGCACCAGCAAGCAGACGGTGGTGCACATCCAGCGCGTGCGGTGCGCGGCGAGCGGCGTCAGCGTGGAGTGTGACGTCACCACGTACGAGAACGGCGTCAGCCTGGCGCACGCGCTCGCCTTCCAGGGCCGCGCGCGCCTCCTCAACCACAAGATACCGGTACGCAGCCAGAAGCTAACATAAATTATAATTCAATTCTTTATTCATAATTTGAGATAAAAATTGCAGATATTATTATTATTATCATATATGTTTATTTCATATTTTCTATATAATAGATTTGATATAGAAATAAAATAAAACATATTATATAAAAAATAGAGCACCACAGGCTGCGGAATCCGATGACTCAAGCATTATTATTATTATTATTATTATATCTAAACATTTCCGAACTTACTAGTTTGTGACTTGTGATATCTTTTTAAGCCTGCCTTTGGACCTTCCTTTAAGGGCAAATCAATTGTTTTTTTTGTTCCGCCCTATCTATAGAAATTGCTAGCTACAGCCTTAGCCGCGCATGCATACACTTTCTTATTTTATTTCATAGATGACGGTTTAACACTATTTTTTTTCGAAACATCGCTATATTTTTCGACTGCAGTGACACGTACACATATAATCGTCTACATTAAACCATGATCGTAATGTAAAATGTTATATAACCACAGAAATCAAACATGAGATATTTATATATGACTAAAACATATTTAAAAATGTAATTAGATGTTTCTTTTTGCAGTACCCAAAAAATATAAATGCCGGTAAAAAGCCGAAGCTGTTTATAAACAATAGTGACTATAATTTGAAAACAATGGAAGAAGTCTACATAACTAGTATAATAAGCCCGGATCATTTTTACGTGAGAAAGGTAAGGGGTTTTGTATGCTATTAGATTATTATTATTATCTTGAAATCACAATTTTTTATGTATGTCCTTGGTATTGTATTATTAAATAAAGCAATTAATGTTATTCTTTACAGGTACACCTGCAGAGTGTATATGAAAAATTATGCGAAGATCTCGATCAGAATTACAATATAAACGTTAAAACAGGCAGTATCTATTTACCTGAGAAAGGTAAATATTTTGCATATATCTAAATGTATATGTTTTAATATAATCTCAATGTATGTCCGAAATTGTCCAAACAGACCATCCAAAGAAAAGTGGATTTGACGGTGAAGGAGACGTATAAGAAGGAAATGTCCTCTTTATGTGCGTCTCCTCCGTCAATTAAGGGTAGACAACGCATCTGCAATAGCGGATGTTTATGGGCAGCGGTCGCTTT